CCGGTCCAAAACAACCAGCTTCCGCTTTGCGCGGATAATCTTTTTCTCGCAATTTCCAGCTAAGTAGGGTAAAACCAACCTGTCTCACCAGAGTGGCCAAGGAAGTCTTCCATTTCCACACGGCGCCAAAGCGCATCCAGCGGTGACGGCCAATGTGGGTCTGGTCAAATTCTGTGGTGCTGGAAGAATGCGTAAAATAGACCTACAAGAAGATGCCCCCGAGCTTTCCCCAAACATATAGCCGGAGAAGCCCGACTTTTCTAGTCAATGACCAACCTCAAAGGCATACACGTCACTCCTTTTGCATTCGGTTACGCTGATGCACGTTTCCACGCGCGCCTGTTTGCACCTTGCCCCCGATGCTGCGCGCCTTATCGGGACATTGGCCCCCTTCTGCGCCGTAGAAGGTGCGGCACCAGTACCACCCCCAAATGCCATCGACCCACGTTGCCCTTTAAGGATGGCAAGGGGCACTTGACGCACACAACGCGGGCTGTTCTTTCAGTTTTTTTGTCCGACTTGCCTTCGTACCAAAGAATGGGTGATAAGATGAGCATGGAGCATTCAGTGTTCACTGCCTTCTCGCAGGATTTATCAGGCGTGCGCCGCAAACTTTGTCACAAGCCGATGTGAAAGACTAATCTGGCAAAAAGTGTATTGCAATTGCAGCGTCTAGACCCGACGAGAGCAAAACAGGCGCGACAGAAGTCAGGGCCCACCCTTTAGCCGATGTCTTCTGCAGCATTGTGAGAGCGAACACCCAACATCCTTCTATATGTCTGACCTGCTTACTGCTCATTAGGAGACTGAGTGCAGGTGGTATATTCTTCCTATTTGCCCCATTTCGGGTCGCGCCATACAAAAGAAGCGCCATGCACCTCCCCAAATGATACACAGCATCATCAAACTGCTGCTGGGATGTTGTGCAGTTGTGCAAACCATCTGCCATCACATCAGAAACTTCAGGCGGGGCATCCTCCGTACAACATGTAACAATCGCTGCTGCCATGCAGAGTTGCTTTGCAGACACTTCATGGCGGGACGCCCCAAGTTCCTTCGCTGCTTGGCATAAGGCTTCATCATTGGAAGCCAATGCCGCCGCACTGATTGCCGTAAGAAGAAGATGAGGTGTCCTTTTCGACGCGCCCTTCACTACGTTTAGGGCCGTGATCCACTCCCCCATCGCCCCCAGACGATGCGCCAGAGCCTCCGCATAGCGGTGGTCAGGCTTCGCAATTTGTTCGTAGGCATTAACACAGCTTACCCATGTGGCAGTGAAAGGAATATTGCTCTTAAACAATGCGTTTTTTAACCACGTCATGTGTGTCTGAATGCTTTGCACCGGTCGCGTTATGTAAAATTGGATTGCTTGCTGCCACAGGTTTCCGTTCACCAACGCAGCAAGTGTACAATTGTTGATGGTGGCTTGCTGACCTTCGTGGGGCGTGGGTATGGATTGTGTTGCTTGATAAAGATGTAGCACCTGTTCCCATTGATACGCCGCGTTCAATAGAGTCATAAGCTTTCCTATGTGGATTCGATCTGCATCATCTGCTTCACTATTGTAATTCATCACGAATGATGTGGCCACACGCCATTGATCGGGGGGACAAGAAGCAAGAAGATTCTCGATGGCGCGCCTCGGAGGTAGTTTCCCACCGTGGCGACAACTATACTTCTTTATAAGAAGTTCCATCTGTCTCACTATGGCTGCTCCATGTGTGGCTGTGTACAGAAGCGCAAGAACTGCTGTCACGCCAACCAATATATTTTCATCCCGTGTCACAAGATCGCTTTCAATGTGCGATACGAGAGCACACGCGCGACGCCATCCTTGGCGTTGTGATGCGGCAACCTTTCGAATCAGCACTTCGAAACGGTGGCGGGGTGAGAGCTGAAGGGCTTCTTCCCAGTGACCGGCAGCGGCAAGCCCAACGCTCACATCCACACGAATATCATCCGTCAGTATCCCCTCTGCTTTCTCCATCTCTCGTAGCAAGAAAATCGGTGTGTTTGGGCCAAGTTGCGACAGCTGCGGGGATTGAAGGAGGAACCGGTAGTGAGCCTGTCGCATGGGAACGCCAGCCAGACGCGCCTCCACAAGAGACTGCAACTGCTCTAACCCTAGTATGTGATTTTCCAACTCGGAGTTTACAGGGTCATATGTGTATGCCCTGCTTGCATTGGCGTAACAAGCCAAAACGGTTTCCAGTGTCTGTGCCTTTTGTTCGGGTGTGCCATTCCTTAGTACTTCCCATCGAAGCTGCCGCAGAATAGCGAGGCTGTGCTTAAGAACCGCGTGCCCCGGTGGGCCTAACAGGTGTGCGCGTGCCACGCGCACAAAAATACTCGCGCCATCACGGTGCCGGAGGTTTGGCGGTGATGTTAAGTATGCCTGCAGCGCACGTGTCCATGACATGGCATACACTTACGTACGCACACACACACAGACAAAAAAAAAAGCGCACCCACACCGTTTAACACCAATAAAGACAGTATTCGAAAGGAAGGTGGAAACAAAACAAGAACCAGCAGCACGGATGACGCACATGCATCTTGAAACTCATTGGAATTATATATATATATATATATATATATATTGAGCACAGCATCCATTTGCATCGACACATCTAAGTTGCAAGGAGAAAGGATAAATGTTTCATTCTCAAACAAACGGATATTTGTGCGTTTGATCCGATTTTCACCTTTTCAACTTTGCGTTCGTTTCGTCTTCACCACTGATGGCTTTGGGGCAAGTTGTTGCATGCTCCACCGCTCAGGAGCCTCCCCACCCACAGGGGGCTCACTCCATTTTCGAAGACGCGTATCCACCTCGTCGACGGTCAAGATTTGTGTTTCTTTGCTTCGGTAGGCGTCACTGGTGCGCTGCACCTCGTACAGCCCCTCCTTCAACTTCACCTTGACCCACCATCCATCGCCCATGTGACGACCCACCAATTTGCCCGTGGCCGCAAACTCATACGGCGTACCGTCCGCACGCAGCCCATGCACGTTAATTGTGCCGTCTTCTTCTAATAGGACCTCCATGACGCCCGCACCACGGGTTCCATCCCCTGCACAATACGAATTGTCCGCCGAAATGGAAACAAGACCCGGCTGCTGCACAACACTTGGTGTATCACCGCTGGGCTGGTGACCGCCGCAGACCGCCACCACGCCGCTTCTGTTCAGAAACTCCACCGCGTCAAGGCCCAAGTAATGCGGTCCATTAGAGCCCACAAGGGGATGCACGACGATAGAATGCGGAACAAAAGATACAGGAAAGGCGTATTGCCGCAAAAACATTCCACCACCACTCTCCATCCATTGTCTAAATCCTTCTTCCTTAAATTCATTCAATGCATTGACCCATTCTTCAGCGGAGCGTTTCTCCGTCATGAAGTTCTGTCTCTTCCCACCCTCAGCATCCAGTATGGATTGTCTCTCTGGGACAATCCCGGCGTTTTCATCGTCGACAATNCCGTGAACAAAGAGAGCACCGTCAATCACCTCTGCTATATTCCCACGTCTCAGGTACTCATAATAGACGCCCTCAGGGCGAGCGGCGTCGAGAAAACTTTGCGCCACCTCTTCATCCGTAACATTTCTTCCATGCAGTCGCTTTAGCTCCCTTCGCCGGCATTCGAAGGTCTCCATGCCCCCCATTTTGTAGGCGAGTGCCCACTGAAGGAACGTCACCTTGGTTACCGTCGGCGGCAGACCTTTTCCTTTAAGGTACTCCGCGTATGGCATCCATTGCTTGGCTCCTCGGGTAGTCGCTAAATCAATTGGAAAGACAAGGCGTTGCGCCTCTTCAGGGGTGACCCCCGCCTCCTCCAGCATCTTTGCAGTTGGCGCACCAAATGCCATCTTATTGATGTCGCGGTTCCCCAAAATGAGATGCACGCGAGATGGGTAGGCATCGTGGAAGTCCAGCAACACCTTGGCAAAAGTCATGTCGTCGCCACGATCAAAGACGTCGCCGCCGTACACAAAGTGTGAAGCATTGTCACAGAAGGAGAGACCATCGTTCCTCCACGTGACAACACGACTAAGCTCCACGTAGCGACGAAAGTACGACAGATCACCCTCCACATCTGTTAAGAAAGCCGTGCGCCGATGCAGTCCGCAGCGACGCAGCATCCGCTTTGCTCCTCCCCCCCCCCCTTCACCTTTTTTTTTGAAAAAAGGGTAATCCCCATAGAAGTTCACAATAAGAAGTCAGTCAAAGATCTTTGAGAGAAATGGGACACGAAAGGCAAAAGAAACCCGTAAGAAGAACAAAGCGCATCTCATCGGACAAGAAAATTTATTTGAAATTATGCCTTCGTCTGCCGCTAACAGTGTTACAAACTACACATTGAGGCAAGAAAACAAAAGACAGGTAAACTCTACACAGACACAAACACCTTTCCACTCCTTTTTTTTCTTTTCTCGTTAGGCCACCACACCGTACACGGTCACGACACAGTGCATCGCCTTATTCTCTGCATGGTACACATAGCACGCATCGCTCGCGGGATTCCATGAGCATGCCGACAACGCGTGAAATCCGGCGCCATTTTTTTGAAAAATGGCGGAATGTGCTATATACTTTCTGGGAAGCGCTGCTTCTTGAGTTAACCGCTGCACTATATTTTCCGTGATGGCTGTAACCATTGCAGGAACCTTATCATGCTGGTACCTCACCACTGGCATGAAGTGCCGCGCCACCACCTCTTCACAGATGCCCTTTGCATCATCGGCCAGTGTCAGCTTCTCTGCCATTGTCCCACTCTACCTATATAAACACGATACCTAGCTTCGTGTCCCCACTCTCCGTTATTCTTCCTTCAACCCTGTCCACGATCACTGAAAACAAGACAAGGCACAAAAGAAAGGGTTCGAGATATGACTCAAATAGCCCCCACCCCAACAAAACACAGAGACGCAGCTGTGGCCTTGTATCTCATCCCTCATTAGTCATTGTCCATGGAGTTCCGTAAACTTTTTTTTTGCCCCAAGCTCCTCTCTCCATCATTCGCTTCAGCTTCCACCCCCGTCTCAGGTGTTCACTTCCACAACTTCCGGCTCATCCATCTCCAGTCTCTCTAAACAACTCTTGACGTAGCCGACCCTGCGCGGATCCAAGTCCATCGCGGTGTGATAATACTGCACTGCCTGCCTAGTAAGCCCCATGAGGTGGACACATTTAGCAAGAGTCACATAAAGCATCGCCTCATCCGGACACTCCCGTGTCATCCTCAAAAGCTCGTCATGGGCCTCACGAAATTGGTTGAGACGAATCAGCACCTCTGCACGCTGGTGTCGAGCGCCGAGGTTCGTCGGGTGCCGCTTGATAGCGGTCTCGTAGATGCGAAGTGCCTCGCCGAGGCTTTCCCTTGTCGCGCCACGACGGTGATACGTGGCAGCATAGCGGTTCATGATGGTCGGCAAGGGGTTGATGCTGATCGCCTGCTGGAAGTAGTTGCGTGCCTGTTGCAGATTCTCACTTCGGAAGTACAATTCTCCGAGGCCTGCATAGGCGTTGTAATGTTTGCCGTCAATTAGGATCGCCTCGTGGAAGGCATCCACAGCCTCAGACTTACGGTCCAGGTACAGTAATTCGTACCCGCGCAGAGTGTGGGCATACGCAAACTCGTGGTTCACCTGTACCGCACGGTTGAGCATGCAAAGAGACTCCTTTGACTCCTTCACAAGGCTATAAGTGTTAGCCACAACACAAAGTGTGATGGGTGACACAGGCATTTCGTTAATGAGGGTCTGCGAGAGTGAACCAAGCGGTCCCATCTCTCGACGTTGCCACAACGCTGTACTGTAGTACACCAACACAGGATCAGCCAGCCTCCATGGTGCCACCTGTCGCAGACGAGCAAACTCTTTTGCCGCGTTCTCCACATCGCCGTCGTGAAAATAGGACATGGCAAGTGCCCCAATTGCCCACCCTGAGTCCCGTTCGGGAAAACGTTCGTGCTGGAGCAGGCTACGCGCTTCTTTGCAGCGGTAGGTCCACTGCAAGAATGTCACAGAGGCAAATGGTGACAAATACTGTCGCACCGCTTCACGCTTCACATGCTGAGGGGCGTTTCCCGAACCACTATTACCACTGGTGGAGCGGCGAGCAACGTCATCGGCTCCACCCGCAATTGGCGCCGCATCAGAGAACAAGCGGCGCATATCTTCTCGAGGTGTCCGCGCCGTCTTGACATGCTCCTCGTACGCCGCGAAGTTGAGCGGGTCCAACATAACGCTCCTGGCAAACGCCTCGTCCGCATTGCCCCGGCGGAGGTGCCGGCGGCACACGCCAAGCCAGTACTGCACCTCTGAGCACGAGCGTTTCTGATCCAGTTCCTCCAATACACTCTCTCCTTCCATGTACCGCTGTGTCATGCCGCACGCAACCCCTAGCAAGTACTGGCAGTCCCACCGTGCCGCAGCATCTGCAGCTATGTTGCCTACACCACCGCTATTATTACTGCTGGTGGTGGTGCTGGGCAGCAAGAAAGGATAGTGTGCCCGCAATAACCGGTAGGCCGTGCCAGCGTCCCCGCCTGTAAAGTGGCAGCGCGCCAAAGTGTGCAATGATTCATGCGTTGGTGCCAACGCGTAGAGTCGCTCCGCGCAGAAAATGGCGTTAGCATACATGTAGCTCCCAAGGCTTTCCTGAACGGCATCCTTCAGACCCTGCACCGTAATGGCCTTCTGCCGTTCCCTGTAGTATGCCATCTCTCCTTGCAGAATATGCAGGGGGGTGAAAAGGGAAAAGAAGAGAGGGAAAGAGAGAGTGCATGTTGATTAATCAAGAAGCTTGAAACGTTTTGCCCGGTTCCATTTCACACCAATAGCTTCTAGGGACATCACGTTGCCTTTCCTCCATTCGCAAGTCGCACGGGATCATCAGCGGAAAGGGGAAACTCCCGTGGGCCTCTTCTTTGCGTCGCCTCTCCCAACATTTTCCGTGTTGCCTCTTTTCTTTTGTCTGTCCCATTCTCTACCGCGAGCGACAGAGGCACACACACGACACCCTAGAACATGCCATCATGATGTCGGGGGGAAAAAGAAAGAAAGAGAGGCCTATGTCTCTCTCTCTCTCTCTCCCACACACACACACACACTCTCTGTTCGATCTATCTATGGACCAAACACACACACACACACACACTTGTCTGTCAGCTTGATTATATTTTTTTTTCTTGTTTACCTGCGCCTCGCCCCGGCCTCGATGCGGGTGATCTCGGAGTACCCCTGTGTGTTGCTCACCTGATAGAGCACGTCCGCGTTGTTAAACATGCCGTCTTTGAGCGAGACAAGAAGGAACTGGGAGGTTGGGAAGTGCGTCTGCAGCATCCGTCCAATGTTCTGTGTGTGGCTCGGATCGAGCGCGGCATCCACTTCGTCAAGAATGTACATGCACGCCTGGCGCACGCGGAGGATGGCTAGGATAAGACACAACGCAAGCAGCGACCGCTGCCCACCGCTCAGCTCTGACAACGACTCTTTTTCTTTGCCGTTGAACATCACCTTCACCTGCAAACCGCAGAGGTGCTGCCGCTCATCCCGCTCTTCGCGCAGCACTGCGGCGGCGCCAGGCAGACATGTAGAGAAGAGCTTTGAAAAAACACTACTCACAACCTTTACCATGCGGTCAAGCGCCTGCCACTTTTTGTCCTCAATACCGAGGATGCACTGCTGGATAGCGTCCCGGTCTTCGCCCAGTGCGGAGCGCTGCAGGACGAGCTCGTCGTACTCCTTCTTGCGCTCCTCGTAGAGGATGGTAGCCTTCCTATTTAACCGTTTCGACATAACAGCAGCCTGTGACTCGGCTTCGCGGAGCTCCTGCAATGCGGCGGCCGTTCGTTCCTTGTCCTCAAAATAGTACGGTCCATCACGGCGGCCAAAGGTGTGCCGCTCATCAACAAGCCATGCGTGGCGTCGCTCCGCTTCATGCACCGTCCTGTGCAGCTCCTCCACCGCCTTTGCGGCGTCACGCAGGTCTACCTCTGAATTCTTTACGAAGGTTTCAAGAGAGGACTTTCTTACCACCAGCTGCTGCAGTTCCTGCTGCACCTCTTCCACTTCCTTTTCAAGGCGTTGGCGGTGCTCTTCCGAGCGGCGTCGCCGCTCCATCACTTCTTGTAACTTTGCACCCGTCTCGCTCAACTGTGCCTTGGCCTGCTCATGCGCCGCCGTGCGTTGTCGTATCTCATCCTGTGTCTCGGTCATCTTCTGCTCTAGATCGGCGGCGGACTGTATCATGTCTGCCTCCAGTCGCTCAAACTCCGCCGCGCCCGCTTCTTCTTCGCGAACAAGCGCGCTGCAGCGCTTCTGCGCCTCGACCAGTTGGTCTTGTAATTCATTGCGGGCCTTGTCGGGGTCCTCCCTCGTACGCCGTTCTAACGCGGTCTTGCGCCCCTGCAGCTCACGCACCGCCGTCTTTGCCGCTTCCAGTTTACGTTGCTCCTCCTCCAGTGCAGCACGCATCTCCATGATGAACCCATCCGTCTCGCCCTGCTCAAGCTGCAGTTTATGCGATGCCAGTCCCAACGCCTCTTCAGCCTCCTTATACCGCTTAATAAGAGGACCGTGTCGCCGCAGCTGCTCCTGCAGGTCCTCCATTTCCGTCTCGAGTTGCGCAATTTTTGTCAGCAACGCCTCTACTGGAGCCTTGCGCTGTTGGTACGCTCGCACCTCGGCAAATATGTCTCGCAACTGCTGCGTAGAACCACCTGTCATGAGACCATTCGGTTCTGCCACCTCGCCGTCGAGTGAGACAGCCTTGCATCGCACAGCAGGGTTGTACGCCAGCTCCTGAGCAAGTGCCAGCGATGAGCAGACAAGAAACTGGCCGTACACAAATTCCGCGACGATGTGATACGCTTCGTCCTTCACTACTGTCAGGTCTTTGGCAACGGCGAGGAAACCCCCCATGCGTGCGGCAATCCGCTTCGCCTCTTCTACGCGTCCGCTTTCAATGCCTTTGGGGCGCTGCAACGTGTTGAGCGGGAGAAACGCCGTGCGATGTCGCAGTCCATGGCGAATGATCTTCTCGGCAACAGCATCGTTTGTTACAACGACACGCAGCAGCTGCGTCTGCGCACCCACCATAAGTGCCATGGCATATTTCTCTTCCTTTGGTGTGACAAGCTCCGCGACACGCCCGCGGATGTGCTGCTCAATTCCGGGGCACGAGCGGCGGTCGTACTCCACGTCGAAACCTCGTCCAGCGCCGCTTCCACTTGCCTCGCGCAGCAACGAATCGTTTGCCTGCCAGTGCTCTGCCTTGAGCCGCGCAATTTCCTCCTGCAGTTCGCGCGCCCGAGTCTCGAGGGGGGCCACAGTTAGGTACGCCGCTGCTTCAGCGTCGAAGCGCCCACGTTGTCGCGCCACCTCCTTCTTGAGAGACGCAATGGTGTCAGCACGGGCCGCTACTTTTTGCGTGGTGTGTTGAAGTTGCCGCTCCATTTCCTTCACGCGTTCCTCACAACGGCGTGCCTCGGCGCCGTGGTGGATGAGTTGACGCTCAATGTCAGCGCGCTCCTCTTCCAACGACATGCCAGACATGCCTGCCCGCACCCCTGATATGTGAAGCTCTAGGGAGCGCTTTAATTTCGCGACGTTCTCCTTTTCTAGACGAAGGCGCTCCATTAACTGATCACGTTTTTCTCGCTTCACCGTGAATTGCTCCGCCTGTCCTTGCTGCCGGTCTTTCTCTTTTTCTAGCTTCTGGACGGTGCATTTAAGTGCATGCAAGGCATTCTCCGCGCCTTCCACGTGTGCCTCATCCCGTGCCATTTGCCGCTTGAGCGTACTCTCCTCTTCGTGGAGAGCCACGACCGCTTCAGCCGGCGCCGCAAGGTCACCCTGCAGCTGCATCAGCCGCCGTGTTGCAGCATCTTCCGTAGCAGGCAGCGAACGCATTTGTTCCCTCGCTGCGGCGACGTCTGTCTCAAGCGCAGTGCGCCGTTCACTCCGTTGCTCCAACTGTTGCTGGTGTTCGTAGTACTCAAAGGCGATGCGAAACCGTCGCTTTTCCTCAATGCCCTCACTCATCTGTACGAACCGCTCATATTCGTCCTGATCCGCCTTCATTGCTCGCAGCATGGGGCCTATCTGCGTCTCTATGTTGTCGTCGATTTCCTCCATCTTCTTTTCCTTGCTACGGATGAGGCTCTCAGCAGTGCGCCGACGGTGGTCAAACGCCTTCGTGCCGACTGCTTCCTCAATGAGGGAGAGAATGTCCTGGGATCGCATGCCAATCAGCTTGTGCACCGTCCCCTGCAGCACCATGAAATGAGGGTTGTCCACGTTGAGACTGATGCTCTCAAAGAAGCGTTTCACCTTACTCTGCATCGATACGGTGTTATTAAGAAAGAACTGCTGCTTCCCACCCAGCTTGATCTGCCGTCCAACGGTAATGATGGGGTACTCCTCGCAGCTATACCCGGGCGGGGCTGTGCGGGGATCATCATTGATAAATTCAATTGTCACACGCGCCGCGTGGACGCCGGTTGTGCCGGCCCGAAAAATAAGTTCCCGCGGATCTTCGGCGCGAACACGTTTAAGATTTGTAATCCCCATCACAAAGCAAATCGCATCGAATATGTTCGACTTGCCGCTGCCATTAAGGCCCGTGATGGCGTTGAAGTGTGGGCTTAAGTCATCCAGTGCCTTGCGGTGGGCGTACGACTTAAAGCCATCAATGACGATGCTCTTCACACGCATTTCCTCCTCTCTATCTATCTACTTATTTCTTCTCTGGGACTACGTCCCTGAGCGTGAGTGGCAGCCGTCTCCTCTATTTCCGCAAAGCGGCGTCGAGGAAGCGACGAGGAGAAAGAGAGGAAGAGAAGGCATTTGATTTTCCTTTTGAGAACCACGCCATCTTCATCTTGTGCATCTGGGCAATACCATTTGCGTTCTTCTACCTTCCTGCTCGACTTCGGTCTCGTGCCCACTGCTTCTTCCTCCAATTCTTGCTTTCGTCTTACAGCTTGCAGCTACGCGCACACTTCTCCTCCATTCACATGACTTGTCTTTCCACTGAAAAGCGGCACAGTATCAGTCACCGCCTGTTGTTGTCGTTGTTGTTTTTCATTTTGTCTTCATTTCGTTCCTTTCCATTTCCGCCACCGGCTAAATGAAAAATAATGGCGATGGTGATGACAAACGCGAGCCAGCCCAGCTTTGGTTGGACTCATATCATTCACTTCTTTTTCTTCTCACATTATTTCTTTTCTCCATGTCCGTTGCTCTCACGAGAATATTAAGGGCGGCGTCGATACACACACACACAGACGTAGACGTAGACACGTACACACACACACACACACACAGATATATATATGTATATATGTATATATGTATGCTTGTGCCTGCGCGCAGAGGGACTTAAACAGGGGAGGAGAGCTAAAATAAGAGGCATGAAGAGAAAGGGGTGCGGATCGTTGGGGACAAATGCGTTCACTTCACACCGAAGGTGCGTGCAAGAAAAAAAAAGAAAAAAAGAAAAAAACACACCAAAAGGAAAAGAAAAACATAGTGAACGGAGATGATACATGACTCGTTTCGCGCGTTGCCTTGACGCTGGCGTGGCACGCACTGATGTGCGCTTATCCCACACCAACTCTATTACACCATCTGCCTCACCGACCTCTTCCTTGACCACAAACCTCAATAATAATAAGTTCTTCTTCCTCTCTTCCCTCCTCTTTCATTTTATTTCTCTCAGTGCCCTCTCTCTGTTTTTTTTTTTGTTGTTGCTTGATCTCTCTCTCTCTCTCTCTCTTTCTCCCTCTCTCATCGTCTGTCATTGTCATCGCTATCTCGTTCCTTTTCCTCACAGAGCCACGAATGGGTGTCGCAACAGCTGCTCCGCCGTTGACCGTTTCCTCGGGTCACGCTCAAAGCACAACTCAAGAAAGTTCATGAGCTGCGGATCCAAGTCCTTCGGGATCTCCGTCGGAAGTCCTGTCGAGTGTGCAATCTTGTACACTGCCGCCCACATGGAGTTGCACTCAGGCCACGGGGGCTTGCCAGTGATCATTTCTACGACAGTACATCCAATTGACCAAATATCACTCTTCATGCCGTACCCGCCAGCCTCGCATTTGATCACCTCTGGTGCCATCCAGTACGGTGTCCCAACCATTGTTTGGCATCCATGGGTTTTACTACAGACGTCGTCAATAGCCTTGCTGCATCCAAAGTCAGCAAGCTTTATGATCCCATCAAGCGATACCAAGACATTGTCGCCCTTGATGTCGCGGTGAACAATACCACAATCATGCAGGTACTTGACACCGCAGAGCATTTGGTACGTCCATTGACGCACAGTTGGAAGTGGAATTTTTTTGAATTTCTTCACAAACGAGTTCAGTGATCCACCACTTACGAATTCCATAAATATATTAAGCGTGCTATTCTCCCTTTCTTCTAGACTACCGTAATACTGCACAATATTTGGATGATGTAGCCGCTTCATCAGTGCAATCTCGCTGCGTAATTTTTCCATCTCTTCGCGACTGGAGAGTGATCCCAACTCAATCACTTTGCAACACACTGTTCGCCCACTTACAAGAAGAGCCTCGTAGACTGCCCCAAAGCTGCCCTTGCCGATAATTTTGAGTTGCCGCCAACCTTCAAGGTCCGCGTCAGTGAGCACCAAGCGATTTTGCTGAGGGGATGTCAACGGACTTCCTGGGTTGCTATTCATACTGCCGTGAAATGAATGCGTTTGAGTTCGTCCCGTTCCCATAATGCTGCTCGCTACATTGCTTTCCTTAAAGTTATCAGTGGTACTGAGGGTTGCGTCGGCAATTTTCGAATTATTGTATGATTTCTTATCATCAATGGGGTATTTCCCCTCTTGCAGCATGCGTAACTTCCGCGCATCAAGCGACCTCACGTCAGCGAGATCAATATGATCATCTTGTATCCCTACATCTGCAACAACTGCCTTATGCACCATCTGCCGCTGGTCATGTTCACCATTGATAAACACGCCAGCAACCCAATCACCATTCGCCATCCACTCGCACCCCTGCCCATGCTTCAGTCCATCCTTGAAAGATCCTACATATTTGGCGCCGTCGGCCCAAATATAAGTCCCTTTACCGTTAGGCTTCCCGTGGGCAAACTCACCCTCATACACGTCACCCTCTGGGTTCGCCATGACGCCTTTTCCCTCTTTTTCGTTGCGCACAAACTCGCCGTGGTAGACGACGCCATTTTCCTCTGTGAGCTTGCCCTGACCGTGGCGCATGTTGGCAAGCCACTCACCCTCATAAACGCTCCCACCCACATACTCCATCTTACCGAGTCCGTGGCGCATGTCATCTACCCAACCCCCTGTGTAAACGCCAGTGGCGTCCTTCAGCACCCCGAAGCCATCCTGCAGACCACATTTGTACTCGCCGTCGTAGCAATCCCCGTCCGCCCACGTGTACACACCGCGGCCGTCCATGGTGTCATCAAGCCATTCCCCCACGTACGTGTCCCCACTCTTCCACACAGCCTTGCCATAACCGGCCATGTGGCCCTCCTCGTCGACGGTGCCAACGTAATAGCCCTCGTCGAAATCGATGCGGTTAGGCTCCGGTTGGAGTGGCACACCCCGGAACTCACTAAGGTTCGCGCGCTGCCTCTCAGAATCCATCGCTGGATGGAACCCGGATGCAAGCAAATTTAAGCAAAAAACGTATTGTTGCTTCAATGGCGTTCAACACCACCCCCAGGCGCGTGCGCGCGCGCAACACAGAGAAAGAGCGCGCAAGCACTCACAGGTTTTTCTCTCGTATCTTCTGTAGACCCCCACTTCTCTTCTGCCCGCCCTCTCAGCTCGCAGCTCCCCTCCCACTATTTTTTTTTTCTTTTTTGTTCTTCTGGGAGCAGTCCTTGAGACTCTATTCCTCTGCTAACCTCCTCCTTAATACTACCACGAATAAACGGACCAAAAGGCGAAGAGAAAATAAGACGCAAATGAGCATCGAACAATTACAGGCCTTCATGTTAGCAATGGCCGGCAAGTCATTCCTCCTGTACATTTCTTACAAGAATCCTCAAAGTCACACATCAGTTCTACATTTACCGTCTTTTGCCTTTGCACCCTCCCGAGTAATTATCGGTCTTTTGCTTGCCAGTGAACGAGAGAATCTGCACCGGCATGTGTGGCATCAACCAACTCCCCACGTGCCCCCTCTCTTCCCCCTTTTTTTACAAGGGGGAACGAGCCTATACGAGCAAGATATCAAGAAAAAAATCAGAGAAAATGAGAGTCAATTATCGTACACATCCTCCTCCTTCTTTTCGCGTTATTCTGCTATTTCCTCATTTCCTCCTGCACTCCACCCTTTAATTCGGCTCCCTTGCTCCATCCGCTCAGCTACATATCGCGCAGTTGTAAAGGTTGTGTACAACAAGTTAGAGAAACAAAATGCTTTGATTGATGTTCTTTTCTACCTATCCACGAAGTGTTTTTTTTTTTCGTTTACAGCGAAGCCGATCAGAAAAGAGGAGATATAGTGGGAACGAATGGCCATTTGATAAGATAAACGCACTAAAGAGAAACACTGTAAAGTTCGGGCACACTGATACAGCCAAAAGAGCAACACGAATCTCTTCCAAAACATAAAAGGTCAGGAAAAAAACGCCCTTGTTTATATATATATATATATATATATACCTCCTTCATATTCAACCAGAAAGACTGTGCCTTCGCATAACACCTCTCCCTCTACTTCGCCAATATCTAACAGCACACTTTTGCTCCACCCACTGAAGTTTTTTTTTATTGGTCCTTCCAATGGTCACAAAACACTGCCTTGTTGGTTGTAGTATACATCGAAGGATCCATGTGACGCACCTTCACTGGCGCTGAAACCACTGGACGGGGCAAAGCCTGTGGTTCCGGCCGGAGGAATCTACTCTTGTACTCAGATGCAAAAGTACGATTCTCCAAGACTTTGTCCTTAGGCACAGAACCCCTTTTCGGCTCAATTTTCGGAACTACATTGTGAGCCTTAAAATCAGCGTGAGTCGTACTTGAATAGAAATCAGGATCTGCATGACAAGGACACATGTAACCACCTGCACCAGGGGCCTTCGATTCAGGCAACTTTTTGGCTTCGTAAGGTTGAGAAGCACTTGACCTCGCAGAAAATGGAACAACACTCCGCGCTGTCTGAGAGCCCTTCCCAACAGAAGACCGACCCGTCATCGGAACACCATCACGCCTTTCTGTCGGCAAGCAAGACCGACCACTACCAAGCACATTACGATTCGACCGACGGGGCGGAACCTTAAAAGGAGGAACACGACTACTCGCATCCCCCTCAGTCTTCTCCTCTTGCTCGCGCTTGTACGCCCCCGGATCGATAGGCTTGTACGCCTCCTGCGCAGTGGAGCGGAAGTGGTCGGGGTCCACATGACGCGGGCCAACCTCCTCCTCATCCTCCTCCGGCTGCTCGCGCTTGTACGCCGACGGATCGATGGGTTTGTACGACTCCTGCACAGTAGAGCGGAAGTGGTCGGGGTCCACGTGACGCGGACCAACCACCTCCTCATCCTCCTTCGGCTGATCGCGCTTGTACGCCGACGCATCGATAGGCTTAAACGACTCCTGGCTCACACTCTTGTACGCAGAAGGATCAGTACGACGCACTTTAACCTCCTCATCCTTTGGCAATGAACCATCCCGCTTGTACGCCGACGGATCGATGGGCTTGTACGACTCCTGCGCGGTGGAGCGGAAGTGGTCGGGGTCCACATGGCGCGGACCAGCCTCCTCCTCGTCCTCCTCCGGCTGATCGCGCTTGTACTCAGCCGGGTCAATCGGCTTGTACGCCTCCTGCGCAGTGGAGCGGAAGTGGTCGGGGTCCACATGACGCGGGCCAACCTCCTCCTCATCCTCCTCCGGCTCTTCACGCTTGTACATTGACGGGTCGATGGGTTTGCATGCGCTATTTTGTGGGGTGTAGGGTTGCTGTGTCTTTTGCTTGTGCGACGCGGGTGCGCGCCGTAATTCGTCTTTGGAACGTCCGCGGAATTGGAAGGAGTCCTCGTATTCGCTATGGAGCTTGCCCTTGCGCATTCTGGTGAAGCCGTCCATTGCGCAGCCTTTGTGGTGTGTTGTGAGGTGATGCAAAAAATTCTGAATGTGTAGATGGGGAGAAAAGTGCGTGGTTGGCTTTTAATTTAATATAATAGCTGAAGTCACTGTTTGGGAGGCATGGGGTTAGGTATTTCTCTGTAGATGAATGCCATTTTTACATTGTGGTTACATGGGTTTGTTGAGTCTAAGTTGCGGCGGTTGTATGTGTGTCGTTGTTGGTGCCTATTTGTCGTTGGAATTGATGGCAGGCTACTGTTAAGTCCATTATGGCCTTTGTGCTGCAGAAGTTCGCGTACGGGTTGTCGTCTGCCTTGTTGCGCGTAGTGCCTACTGAGGTCGTCGGGGCGAAAGTACTCAGCTCTGCGCTCTCAGTACTACCATCCGTCTTAAGCCGCGAAGAGGCGGGCTTGCCGTACTTGGTGTCTATCATGTGACGCTGTGATGCGCCGTATTGAGAACTTGTTGGAGCGCCGTCGAAGGCCATGGAGTTGCCGTTGCTGAACATGAGCTCCTTACCCAGTCCTCTTCGCCGCATCATTGGCTGCACGGACGGTTCACCGGGGTCGGTGAAATCGGACTTGTACATAGATAGTGAGGGGCCTGTGGTGTGATCCACAGCAAGCGTGAATGCACGGCCATCTGCCTCGTAGATTCGGTTGTCTCGCCAGTTATCTATGAGCACCCCGCTGTTGTAGTGGTTGTCAAAATACGGAAGATTCCGATCTCCGAAAGGAGAATTTTCGGGCATGACTTATTATAACTGCTATTGCTTCGTGTCTTTACGTGCTAGTACTGTTTCAAGGAGTGCTCGACGGCCCAAAACAAGAGAGGATCCACTTTGTGTTTCCACATGGATCAAGAGGTTATTGGGGCAGAGGTAATTTTTTTCAAGTAGGAGAGAGTAAGTATGTGCATACCTTCGTGTGATTTGCTTGAACAACAGATGCTCCCAAACGCATCAGAAAGAAGGTCTGTTGGAGTGGCAGTATTGGGTGGATCGGCGTCCCTCCCATTAATACTGAGACGTTGGACTTTAAACGATTGCGGTTCCAATGCTTACCTTTACGCGATGCTTCGACTTCTCTTCTTCGGTCCTTTCTTTGTGTTTTGCGCCACAGTGTTAGCCATTGGTCCATCGTCTGCAACGCCCAACAACGCAGTACCCACCGAAATCTCAGCTTTATGGTTAATGCCGGAGATAACCTTCTTAGATGCACGTTGTTCCTCGAGCCGTTGGGCCTTCTTAGCCGCGGCGTGTTCCTTCAGTGTCACCACGCGCCGCCCAAACTGCTCCTCCACTTGAAGCTTCGCCTGAACCTTCGCTGCCGAAACCTCATCGAGTAGCTTCAGCACACCCTTTTCGTTGACACCCTTGGCTTTCCAGAGACTCAAAGTGCAATTAACTTTTCCCTCAAGGCGTCGCACTAAATCAACGTCGTATTCTGTGACGAATGCCACCGAAAGTCCCTCACGACCAGCGCGCGCTGTGCGGCCAACGCGATGCAGATATGTGGGCGCCTGTTTCGGCAAGTCGTAGTGCAATACGAGGCCCACTGCGGGAATGTCAAGTCCGCGACTCGCGATGTCGGTGGCGACCAGAATGCGCGCAATGCCCAACTTAAAGGTAGCCAAGTTGTCAAGACGGTGCTTCTGCGATATCATCGAGTTGAGGCTGCACACAGGGAAACCTAATAGCTGTAGCACAAGTCTAACAACTTCGCAACGCATGCAAGAGTTGGTGAAGACGATGGTAGACTGCTCAGGTCCCGCGTTTCGGAGGGCAGCAACGAGGTACGCCAGTTTCACCATGTTGGGGATAAAGATGTACTTCTGTTGCAGCGAGTCCGAAACACCATACGACGTTGTGGTGTCACTTCCCTCGCCTTCTTTTTTGTCATCGTTCCCTCCCCCACTCATTATGGTGTTTGTGGCGAACACTTCCAGCTGCTTCGATGCATCGGTGATTCCGAGTCGCGGCAGCCATCCGTCGTCCTCGACGCGTGTGAGGCGTCGCTCAAGTGTTGCGGTAAAGAGCAGTGTGCGCCGTGTGGATCGGGCAGGGCCGAGGAGCGCAACAACCGATGCCACGTCCGCCTCCATGTCGTCGCTCGTCAACCGATCAGCCTCGTCAAGCACGAGGAATCGCAGGCGCGAGAAGGCCCTGCGGGCTTCAGGGAAGGAGGTCAGCATGAATTTCAAACGCCCCGGTGTGGCCACCACGATGTGCGGCCTTCCATTCAACGCGTCCAACTGTTGCTCGTGTGGCACACCGCCAATGACGAGAGCGTTGCGTATTTGCAGCGGGGCGCCGAGGGCGACAAACTGATCGACGATCTGATATGCAAGTTCGCGTGATGGCGTCAGCACAAGAGCAAATACACCGTAGAGGTCCTCTGCGAGTATCTGCAGCAGCGGAAGCGCAAAGGCTGCCGTCTTGCCGCTTCCAGTGGCCGCGCCGCCCACGACACACTTGCCCGCTAGGATTGCAGGGATGCAAAGCGTCTGTATAGGTGTGGGATTATGAAGTGCCATGTACGTGCATTGTTTCACCAACCACTGCTGGATGCCAAGTTGCTCAAACTCAGCCATCACTATGCTATTATCTCTCCTCACTCAAACGCGCACAGTATGAGGGAAAAAGGGAGAAGGAAACCACAAGAATCTGGTAGAGCAAAAAATGATGCATAGTAGGCAATTATGGGGAGATGGAGTGACGAAGGCACAAAATTTTTTTTTCGGTTTCTTCTTCGTTTTTGTCCTTTTGTTTTGAGCATTTATTTTTCTTTGCTGCTACTGCCAGTGCGTCTCTCCTCGCACCCCCACTCAGCCAAAGGAAAACAGTTACTCACCGCCTCACGTAACATCAGGTTACTAACAAACAACAGAAAAAACACCCACCACGCACTTGAGAGGTTTGGAACACCATTCACGTATATACGCACGTTTTGGTGATTGGTTTCCATACCAAGACGCCAGCCAAAATAAAAATAAAAAATGACCCCCAAAATTCGCTTTAATCTGGCGACGTATGTGACTCAATTTATTTTTTTTTCGTGGTGGTTGTGTGGGTGCTAATTGCCCCGCACAAGTTCGTTTTTCATCGCCTTTCTTTTCGTTCATTTCTTCTCTATAGACTGGCCTCAGGCGGCGATTCCATTTTCTTTCCCTTACAGTAAACATGAGACGGCGTGCGCATAGAGCACAGCTCCTCAGCGCTTGTGGGATGCACACCAATGGTGTTGTAGAAGTCACTGATTGTCGCATCCAATCTTAGGCACACACCCACTCCCTGGATAATCTCCGGCGCGCTGTCTCCAAGAAGATGTACCCCGAGCACTTTGCCGTTGCCATAGTCTGTAATAATCTTGGCCACGAACTTCTTGTACTTTGACCCGCTGATATTGTGCATGAGCGGTGTGAAGCTCGAAACGTACACCCCCACCTTCTCATACTGCTGCGCCGCAACCTCCTCAGTGAGGCCACAGGTGCCAATGGGCGGGATCGAGAAAACGGCGCTCGCCACACGGGTATGGTCTGTTTTGCGCGTCTTGTCGCCAAAGATGGTGTCAATAAGAGCGCTGCCTTCGTTAATGGCCACTGGCGTCAGCATGAGACGATTCGTGACGTCACCAATGGCGTAGATGTTCGAAATGTTCGTACGGGAGTGCTCGTCCACCTGCACAGCGCCGTTCTTCCCGAGCGCCACACCGGCCTTCTCCAACTGAAGGTTGTCAGTGCGTGGAAGACGGCCAATTGCCATCATAACCACATCGACGTCGAGCGTTTTGCCACTCTCAAATGTGACGTGCTTGCTGCCATCAGGGTTCAGCTCCACCTTTGCAGGGTTCTCTTTGGTCCAGATGTCAATACCATTGGCAGTGAGCTGCTTCGTGAGCTCCTCGCGCAACGTGTTATCAAAACCACGCAGGATCAAGTCGCGGCGGTAGCACAGCGTCACTTTGCCATCGGCAGGCTTGTAAGCATTGAAGATGCCGGCGAACTCGACAGAGATAAAGCCACCACCGACAGTCAGTGCACGGCGAGGTGGTTCCGGCAGGTAGAAAGCCTCGTTGCTGCTGATACAGTGCTCGATACCAGGAATGCGCGGCATTTGCGGCCATGATCCTGTTGCCAGGAGAATATGGGACGCCTCCAGCCGCTCCTTAACAGCACTGTCAGGATCGGCGCTTTCACGAACAACAACCACATTTTTCGATTCCAATGAGCCCCATCCCACAAAGAACTCGAGACCCTCCGTGTCCTTAAACATGCCGTCGTAGCTTTTATTGATATCCAGCACTGCCTCGTCCTTCGCCGCAATGAGTTTTTTCCAGTTGGCCTTGACGCTCTCCCGATTAAACTCCCATCCGAATCCGGCCGACTCGCGGAGGTGCTCCATATACTGCGCGCCGGTCACCATCAACTTCTTGGGTACACAACCAACGTTGACACATGTGCCACCCAATGCGGAGAAGAATGGAGGTCCGTGCACTGCCTGTACATCAATCACAGCAACACGCTTCTTGTAGATGGCTGCTGCATTCCAGCCTGCCTCGAGACCTCCCGAACCGCCACCAATGACCACCAAATCGAAGGCCTTTGACATAGAGAAACGGGTAAAACGAAAAATTTTCGTGAGCTTGATTTAAAACAAGAAGGAAGCTGTTATGGCAATAATTCGGTTCTTCTCTTAGAGTGTGCAAAGAAACAGGGAGAGAAAAGCCAAAAAAAAGTTCTCAAATGCTGAGCAGTAACATTTAATGTGTGGCTCCTCTTTTTTCCTTGCTCTATTTTACCCAACTCACATGTTGACCTTTCCAAGTCTGAACTCTCTCTCCACACCCCTGACTTTTACTTGAATACGCCCCGCGGCATCTTTGGTCCGTTCAGTGGGATAGGTGTGATGTCCTCAAAGTAGCGCACATGGAATTCATTCGCGCGATCCTGTACCGCTCGCACCGCCCCCTGCCTACCGTTGTAGAAACCCATAACCCGCACCACAAGCTCAACCTTTTCGCCCCGTCCAAGTGGTCGTCCCTCGCCCGCCCGCATTTCACGAAGTTTAGGCAGCAGATCATTGAGGTACATGCTCGTCACCTGATGACCGTTGTCGGTGGAGCCGTCACTGCGGAAGCCGCGGTCACCGCCCTTGAGTCCCCTATTGCCAGCTGTATAAGTGGGAAGAATACGTTTACCCTCATACGTGTACGCTACCGCGTATGTGTTACGCCGGCGTGAGACAAGGTACAAGAACACCATGTCGCGTGTGTACTTCGGCATCTCCCCCCACATGTCGAGCTGGCTATATTCGACCATACCATGAGGCATCTCGCTGTCCTTAACGAGGGAGTAGCCAAATCGGCTCTTAAAGTAATCGTTACCCAGAACACGCTGCGGAACGCCATCGGTGCCACTGCTAGCATCTTGAGCACCAGTTGTCGTCGTCGTCGTCGTCGTTGTTGCAGGAGCACCAGCACCAGCAGTGGGCCCACTGCTGGCTTCTTGTCGTGGATGCCCTTGCTCCATGTCCTCGTACCACGCCCGCTCATTGAACGCGCGTTGGTGCTGTGCCCCATCGTTTTCCGCCAAACGCCGCATCTCTTCTTGTATGGAGTCCACGGTGCTACGGGCTGACATATGCCCCCAGTCCATCTGGGGGAGCTTCGGCGCGATTGCAGACCCCATTTTGTCGGCACTATCCTCAACATCACGTTGCATGAGACGGTCGTTAGTGGAACGAATGAGAAACTCGTTGAAGTACTGCTGTCCACCTTGCTGTGGCTTTAATAGCGCCGGCACACGACGGTACTTGTCAAGAAACATACCTGCCCGTGGCCGTGGCTTTCCTCGGCGCAACAAAGCGAGCGACAGACGCATGACGAAGTTCCACCTCTCCCCTCACACTACCCCACTGTTATCCACATCATTACAAAAGAGGCGTACACAGAAAAAAAGACACACCAAAGAAAAGTCAAAGAAAACGATATGTACTAGTAGGGGTCATTCAACGTCAAAAAAGCAGTAGACATTACTCAAGTGTATTACTTTTAATATCCTTAAAACCCTAAACCCCACGAAGTTGGTACTTATCCCCTAGCTGGAGGATAACTCCCACCTCGTTCAGCTGGTGTAACATCGCATTGGCATTACGACACCCTGCCTGTTCACATGCCGAAAGAACGATGCGGTGTGGGAGAGCATTGACGCCTGTTCGGCAGACTTCTGCCTTTAGTGTGTTCAGGATCATTTCCCGCTGGGTTACCTTCTTTGCAGCGGCGGGGCGGAGTGGAGCCATGTGGTTGCTGGCGCATAAGCTTCCGGAGCACTGCCGCAGCAGTTCCACGGCATATTTCGCATCATCAGATGTCACTTCATGCCTCAGCTCAACCTTGGCGCGCGCTTCTGCTACACGAATCAGAGCCTGAAGAAACCGCGGCGTAATAGCCAACTCGCCGTCTCTTGTCTCTGCGCGCCGTGCCAAGTAGTGCTCCTTGAGCACCTCACTCGCCTCTTCGCGCAAGGAAGGATGGCAATGATGGCGGCAGAACGCCACAAAGCGCTGCAGCAAATCCACTGGAAGTGTACCACTGCCATTGCCACCCGTGTGATACGGGTCATCGGCGTCGTGCCGTCGGTGCAACTGCAGCACGTGCTCGGAGAGGGATCGGGTGCACTCTGCGTGTGGGTCACGCAGGCAGACGACAATGTCAAAACGACTAAGGAGTGCGGGGGAAAGGTTGAGGTTGGCGGTTAGCGGCTTGGTGTCGTCAAAGCGGCCGCCAACAGGATTCCCTGCAGCGAGAATAGCGGTGCGCACTGGTACAGAGAATACCATCCCGGCCTTCGCCATCGACACCGTCTCTTGCTCCATCACCTCAAGCAGCGCCTTGTGTTCTGTGACACCCTTGTCAATCTCGTCGATGCAAGTGATACCTCCGTCACCGTGCACAACAGCACCAGCTTCAAACGCAGTCTCACCAGACGTCGGGTCTCTCGTGAGTGTAAGTGTCAGGCCACATGAGGACGACGTGTGGGCGCACACAAAGGCACTCCGCGGGGCGATGCCACACGCGGCGCGCAGCAGCTGCGACTTGCCAAGACCTGGGTCACCCACCATGAGGAGGTGAATATTGCTGCGCGTACGCATCTTGAGCTCTGTGCCTCCAATCACAGCAAGCACAATCGCCTCCTTCACATGTTGTAAACCAAAGATAGATGGCGCAAACGAGGCGCATAGTCGCGCAAACCATTGTGGATGACGCGCCATTTCGTAAAAACGCCCGCTCTCCTCTAGTGAGTCCATTGACAGTAATGCGCCCCGTGCACTGTCGTGCCGGCTGCCCTCTATAGAGTACGCCCGTACTGCAATTTGCTGTGTGGCTCCGTTACGTCCCTCACCACGTACGGCGCACAGAACGCCACACACAACGACAGCCTCGCCCACCGCTGCTGCATCAATCCAGATACCACGTAGTTCCACTGCCATCATCTTATGGATGCTTCCACCTCCCGCAGATCCTTCATAGACATCCGTCTGTTCCTGCACTTTCAGTACCTGTACCTCTTCACACTCTCCCTGCTCTACCAGCGGTGACCAACGGTACCCGCGGCACCGGCCACGGCACTGTCCCGGGTACACCAGCACGCCGTCCTCTGTTGGGGCCTCCACCACTACCCCACAGGCGCCGCAGCGGAACGTCATTCGCACACAAGTAACACGTGATGGACTCATCCGCACAACTGTTCCGCGTATTGTCACGAGTTGACCAAGCATAGAGGCACCCAAAGTATCAAATGAAGTTGCGCAGGTGTCGTCGCCAACGACGGAGCAAACCACGCGCCAAGAGCCGACAGCCCCCATCTGGTGTTCTCTCTCTTGTTGCTGGCAGCTCAGCACAGCTCTGAAAAACTCCAACAATGGCACGACAATATACGGCTGACTGACGAGAGCATTTCGCATCGCTTGGTTCAGCACATCACCACGGAGGTCCACTTTAAACGTGAAAGTCGCAATGAGCGATGGAAACGAGTGGCTTGTCGCAGTTGTGGCAGCTTGCAGCGGAATCTGAGCCAAAAACCCTGCAAATAGTCGCCACATTTCACTTACCGCCTCCTCATCGTATGACAAGGGCGCAAGAGACGCGCAGTGCACTTGCCACAGCACCTTCACTGCTTCCTGTGGGACGCCACTGATAGACATTCCCTCTACAAAGATCCATCCTTGCCACGGAGCGTGGAAGAGGAGTACGATGGAGTATATGTCACCACAATACACCTCTCCCTACCCCTCAATAACAACAGCCACACAATCAGTAGAGCAAAAACACAGAGGGTGTAGCCCCACTTATGGAAAAACAAAAACCTTTCTCTCTTTCATTTTCTTTTCGCTGCATGCGCGTATGTGTGCATCCAGTGGGGGGGGGNGGGGGCGTCACCTCCTCGGAGTGCTTTCTCCACATTCATAGAAGTTCCTTTTCCTTGAGGAGCTGTGTCAGCTGGCCACTCAACAGCATATTTTTGCACACATCGTATCCTCCAATAAGCTCCCCGTCAATGTACAGTTGTGGGTACGTTGGCCAGTCACTATACGTCTTGAGTCCCTCACACACCTCGTCATCGTCGAGGATATTACAAAAACTGTAGTGGACTTCCAACTGCTGCAGCATATCCACCATTTGTGCCGTGAATCGGCAGCGTGGCTTCTCTGGCGTGCCAGTGAGGAAAACGACTACACGATCCTTTGCAATTATACCCCCAATAGCGGCTGCGAGCGCCGGGGTCACCTTATCTGGGGTGAAGTTTATCCGCGTATGACGCAAGAGCGCCAATTTGGATGCAAACATACCGCGAAGCATTCTTTTTTTTCCTTTTGCTGCCCCTGTATATACACATAAGGGGGAATATAAAGCAAGAAAACACGGTATCGGATAAAAAAACTACGTTTGTTAAATAAATAAAGCAACAAGTTCTTCTATTAGAGCGTTTCGACTCATTTTCTTCATTTACTCCCTCAGGGTTCTTCTTTTTGGTCCTCTCTTCCCCCCACGATGTGAAGAACATCACTTGTTAAGAAAAGCCCTGCGGCCGAAAGTTCTGGTGGAAGAAGACACCTCTGTGAGGCAAACGAGCGACAGACAATAGAGCCTTCAGTGCAGCGCAGAAGGTGAAGCTGTTCAGCGGCGCGAATAGCCCATACACCTCCACTACCACTGGTCATCAGTACCGGTGTGTTACTGCAGCTGTTCAGACTGCTAAGGGCGCAAAGTTGTTTTGACCAGACTGGTTGGTCAGCACGGCGCTGATCATACACAAGGGCGGCGCCACAAGATGTGGCTACCACATACCACGGTATCCCGTAGCCGCTAGCCTGCACCGCCTCAGCATGTCCCATGCCAATCGGCAATTTGAAATGCAGCAGTGTGCTCCCAGTGGTGGAAGAGAACAGCGACACACCGTGCTGAGTGGCACCCACAAAACACCCAGATACCGTCTGCTGATGTTGCCGCTCCAGCGATGAACAATACTGTGGAAACAACCGCTTCAGGGAGCTATCCAGTTTAAGTCGTTGCGCCTCTTCTCGCTCAAATGATATAGCCCACGCTGTGTCGCTCTCGCCTTTTCGGGTGCACACAGCGTCCACATCCCCACAGCCACCACTACAGACAGCGGTGATACAGTCTATCCGAGGAGTAGCATCCCACGTATCGCCAATGAAAACTGTGCCACTGCTGCTGTCATTGGGAACCAGGTCATGCGCCATCCCGTGGACGCGGTGCAGTGTCACAGTGGAAGCGGCATCAGCCAGCGCCAATACAGCCCCGTCGCCACGGCCCATCATGCAGCATGCACCGGCCACCAACGTGCGATGGTATTGTGGGACAAATTTGCGGAGGAAGACATTGTGTTCCTGCAATGAAACAGCACACGCTCTATCGCGTCCAACCAGCAACAGAAGCGGCGACGGCAGTGGCCACGCGTCCTGTGGCATGGCCACATTAAAGGATACAACAGGGAAAGGGCACGTCAAAACACGCGTGGGAACGGCTGTGATGTCAAGCATATTGCATTGTCACAAATACAGCAACGCAATTTGGTCTCGCCTGCTCCCCTTAATCCTCTCTTCAGAATCAGAGCGAAAACAGCAAAAAAAGGAGTAGAAAGTATATGCATATGTACCAGAGAGAGCGAGTCAGCACGTGGGTAGGAAAGAGCGCATCTCAAATGATACACATCCATATCACATTTCGTCGCTCCCTCGGTAAGGCGCGAAGAATAGGGGATGCATTCTCGCTCCTCCTGTCCGCGAAAATAGATAAGAAACAGTGCACTACTGAGCATGGTGGGGAAATCTGTCAAAGGACACGCTACTTCGGTGTCACGAATGGTTGGCGACCTTGGCCGCAGCGACACTTCGACCTCCCGTGGTGGGAAGACCAACAAACACCTTGAAGCTGTCGTACAGCACCCACTGAATCGCAGTGAGTGCGCCAACCATCATGAGACGGGGGACGATGCCTCGCCAGAGGCCTCGCCAACCAAGCTCTCGTACAATATAGCAAAGTGTATTTTTGCTCGTGGCGTGCGACGTGTCGGCGCGCTGATTCAGCTTTGAAACAATTGTATCGGCAGGGTGTGATACGAGGGCGCACAGCATGCCGGCCATGATGCCAGCCAAAAGCGAAACCAATAGTTGCACACTCTTCGGCGACGCACTTCCTGGGTTGCTCAGAAATATTTTGTACAGCTGTTGTGCAATGCTCTCAAAACTCATAAACTTCACAACAGTATACGGTACCTGCCTGCACCAGAGTGCAGTGAGGCCCTTGTAAAAACCGTTGCACCCTTCCGCCGCCCACACCATCGGCACAATGACGGAGATCTGTGTTCTGTGAACACTCGTAGTCTGAATCTTAATTTTAACGGCTTCCCAAGGCGCCAGTGCAACGTCAGCAATTACCTCCGCAAAAAAACTTGCTGCCAAGTACGCCATAAGCTTAGAGGCATAACTTGTAGTATCCATCGGCGAGTTCAGCGCAGCCTCCGCCTTCCGGCGTTCAAGAAGCATGAACTTAAAAACCTCATAAAAGAAAAATTTAATCCCCCCCTGGAGGGAATACCCAATGAAAGTTGGCACCCACCCACGAAAGAAAAGTGGGAAGCTGCCAACAAAAAAACCACCAGCATCCTGGTATATCATACGAAACCCTTCAGTCATGCTCTCATATTCACCCACCTGCATGCGGCACTTCACAAGGTCCATCGGTGTCATGAGCGTATGTGGAAGACCGCTAAGGACGCCACCGATGAAGCAGCACAAAAAGTACATTGAAGAGTACTGTACCACGCCCCTCTCCTCCCCGCCACGGTGAGGTACAGCGCAAGCCACAAAAATGAAAAAACAGAGAAACACCCCACATGTCATAAGCACAAATCTAACACGCAGTAGCATGGCGCACCTCACCAAATAAGTGGGCTCCAAAGAATCTGAAAGCGGCCGAGAGCTCCCGTCAACCTCCTTAAGCTGCCTATCACTCATGCCCAAAAACTTCAGAGAAAGCGTCACCCTACGAAACGCCAACAGTACTACTGACTGCTTAGGCAACCTTAAGGAATATATGTACCCTTTCCACTCCCCAACAAAACGCAACGTCAAACAAAAAAGAAGATAAGCAACAAATAACAAACAAATAGAGCAAACATTTTTTTTTTACAAAAGCAAGCGCCAACAAAAAAAAAAAGACACCACAGTAAAATCAAACCAGCAGATAATAAACACAAGGAAAAACAATAAGCCAAAAAAACCACACTTCACATTATGTGACAACACACTATAACCAATCACCAAGTACTAACAGCCGAAGCAGCGCAAATGGGCGTCGTACGGCATCTAGCTGGACGCGTGCGACACCGCCTTGGTGCCCTCCGCCATGGCGTGCTTCGCCAGGTCCGCCGGCAGCACGAGACGCACGGCCGTCTGCANCTCGCGCGCGCCCAGCGTGCGCTTCTTGTTGACGCGCACGATCGTGGCCGCCTCCGACGCAATGCGCTCGAAGATGTCGTTCACGAACGAGTTCACGATCTTCATCGTGCGGCTGGACATCGACATCTGGTTGTTGATCGACTTGAGCGAGCGGCTGACATAGACGTTCCACGTCCTCTTGGGCTTCTGGTGCGAGCGCTTCGCGCCCTTGCTGCGCTTCGTCGAACTCTTCGGTGTGGCCATATTGTTTGCTTGTGTTTGCTTGTGTGCTGGAGAAGCTGTGCGCAGGTGGCAGGGAGCGAGAGACAGTGTCGTGTGAGTGTGCAAAGAGGACAGGCAACAAATAAGAGCACCATTGTTATGGGAAGTGTGCTTGTTGTTTGTGTGGCGTTGTAGTTTGTGCTGGGTTGTGTGGCTACAATGGTTTCTCTGTCATAACCCGTATGATTGACCCACTTCCCGCGATAGCGTACAACTTTGCATGCCAGCGGAAGTATGTTGCGCTAGACTTGCAGTCGTTTTTAAGGCAGCAGTAGAGTACTTTCATTAAAGTGTCTTGTTGCGTACTGCTGAGAGTGGTGAGTTCTTGTTCAATTGCGGGCCCTGATGTGCCGGCAGCCACCACCTCACGTGCAATGTCACGAACTGAAGCAAATGTCATGTTCGGAAGTGGTGTGCCCTCCAGTTTGTCCAACAGCAAGCACAAGCGAGACATAGGGTGCGACACAGATTGGCCCTATAGAGAGCGAAGCTGTGGTGTCAATACGATGATGTCACGTATCAACAAACGTCTTGCTTGCTGTAGTTAGATAGTTGAAAAACAAAGTGGAAAGGGATTGTGTTGTGAAGCGGAGGAAATATATTTTTTAGTTTAGTGCTTTCAGTTATCATTATTCAAATGGTTTTGTGGACTGTACGTGAACAAGCTGCGTTGATGTGGATTATTTTGACGATACTGGGCATGTGCTGTTTATATTGCAAGTCTCATTTGTGTTCCTGATAATAACGGAGATAGAGGGATGCACCACCTTTCCTACGCTTGTGGAGGTCACATCCCTCTAAGGTGTTTCTCATGTTTCGGTTTGAATGCCTAGGTGTTACCTCATTTTCACAGCTGTTAAGGGGGGTTCTCTTGTTGTGCTGCAATGTAGAAAGGGATAAGGGTCGTGATGCACACGTGGTGTCACACCCATCTCTAGAAATAATTATACAAACGTGTTCATGCTTTCTGTTTGTGTCAGCACAGCTACTGTTCTGTCTCGGTGGGAGAGAGCATTGTCGTTTCTTTGCTATTTCCCCCAAATTGTTTTTTTTTTCCTCTTACTTGTGTTTCTTCTTCTTGTCCGCGTCGTTCGTTGCGGACTCCCCCAGCACTTTCCTTCGCTGCTGAAGCATGTACGTGTACATGACGTAGCTTCCCATTGGGTAGACTCCAAGGAGGATAAACCACACCGTGTTGTACCACGAAAAGCTGCAGTTGTAGCGATTGGGTAATTCCATTGACCACGGCTTATTCGCCTTAATGTACGGAAGCGCCTTGTACAGGCAGGCAATTTCCCCGCTGATACCGATAGGATAGAGCACTGTGAAGGCGGTGTAGCGCAGCCACGTGAGCGGTTTTACCTTCACATTTAAAAGGTTTGCCGCGTAGTACGCGTAGCGAATGATTTCCGACAGAGACCACGCTACAACCATCTGTGTGAAGAAGGGGCTCGTGCGAGAGTCAGTGGGGCCAATCTCCAGCGCGCCGTAGAGCACAAGAAGACGCGAAAGCACCTGCAGGAAAGTGGTAGCGACAGGGCTGCGCACAAGTCCCGCCATGGCGTGCAGAACCTCCATGACGGCCCCGCTCTGGAAGACAACGAGCAGCTTGGCGATGAGCGGGTACACCTCCTCCACGCTCTTTCCACTCGCGAGATGGTTGACGATCTTTGCGAGGATGGCCGCCCATCCAACCAGCATTGAGCCGTTGTAGGCCACCAGGTACGCCTTCTTGAGCATCACTGGCATGAGCCAATGACTGATGATAGTACCCACCGCACTGGAGTGATTATAGACAGAGTCAGAATACAAAAAAAAAGAGAAGGAAAGCAGCAGCGGATTTCTGGAGCAGGAGATACAAAAAAAGGATGTGAAGAGTGGAGGCGTGGCAGTGGCGTCACGCAGAAACTGATAGGAAAATGGAATAGAGAACGAGGGGTAGAGTGCAAATGAATTCCACTTACACTCAAAATTTCAGCGTCTCCGCTTCTTGGGCCCGCCACCCATTCCCATGTCGTTCACAAGTCTCTGCCAATCGTTCGCGCTCTGCGCCGCCACGTCGGCCTCTAGCTGTCTCTTCGCCTGCAGACGCATCCGCTTGCGTTCCAAGTTCTCCGCGCGCCGCTTTGAACGCTCTTCCGGCGTGAGTGACGGCCGTTTACGCAACTTCTCGTAAAATCGTCCCACACGCACGTGCGAGAGCGGCACCTCCTCCACAGCTGCAGCGGCAGCGGCACCAGCTGCAGCATCCGTCTGCGCAGTTGTCTCATCCGACTCCTTCGATGCAGCTTCAAACGCTACAATAACGGTGTTAGCAAGGGTGAGACGCTCTACCTTTGACGGGCGAAACTTCCCTGTGTGGGGATCGATTGCATGGCATACCACACCAGAGCGCAACGACCCTTCCCCTTCTGCCGGGGGCGGTTGCCACGCACGCAACTGCTCACTGTGCACTTCCTCCTCCACGTTGTAGCCCAAGATCCACGCCTTGTAGCGAATGCGATCCAGCGGCGTTTCGGGTTGCAGGGCCTCTGTGATAACGCAGCTGTACCACGTCACATCGTCGAAATGAACCTCGTACGGGGCAGCCTCTTGGTAGCAAATGACGGGTTTGCCGTCAGCATCCAAAGCTTTCGTCAAATCTGGCGTCGGCTCGATATCCTCAACGGCGTTGAGAGACTCAACGGCACCACGCAATTCGGCCTTGATCTCCTCGATGATCGCATCCACCTCGTCATCGGCCTGGTTGCTCTGCTTCAATTCCAACGCCTCTTCCAAATTGGCCTGGAGGCCCTTGTACTCCTCCAGCAACCGCTCACGCTCTTGCATTTGCCCAGTGTCACACTAATGCACAGAGTCCACATCAAAACAATAAATAGAGATGGGAGAAAAAGAATACGGGAAATAAAACAGACACACAGACGCAAACGGAAGCGTTTCTTAAGAGGGCAGCTTCTTCGCTCATTCTTCATTTTTGTTTACATTGCGGACGTCTTTCACACTATGCGTCATCATCTGGATTCTCCTCGTCAGCGTCGTCGTCAGCACCATCGTCATCGTCACCTGCGTCGGCATCATCACCATCACTACCACCCTCTTCGTTGCTCCCTTCCGCCTCCTCTTGTTCCTCCAGCGCAGCTAGCCTCTCGCGTTCCTTCTTTTTTTCATCGAGGATCTCCAGCCATTTCTGCTTCTGTTCCTCTTCATTTTGGAGGCGTTGCTGGTGCACCTCAACGGCTTTCTCTAGCCGCCTCGCCGTCTCTAAAGAATTGTTACACTGGCAGATAGCGGCTGCTGTGACACTTGGGAAGTCGGGGACCTCTTGTAGTACATCGACCCCTCTCGTCACAAGGAATTCCACCGCGTGGTGCGAACGGCCGAGAACGGCCCAGTGGAGCGGGGCCGCTGGGTACCGACTGCGCCGACTCACTTTAAACTGCGGTTGCAATCTGCCGTCATTGCGGAGCTCCTCCACTCGGAAAAGAAAGCCGTACTCCTCGCCTGTCTCAACAACGCGGAGAAGGTTGGCGCCTCCCAGAAGCGCCGCGACTGCCTCCCGCCGCCTGCGCCGCCGCCCGAGGTTGTTGAGGGCGATCTGCTCCTCCTCCTCTTCCTCCTCCTCGTCACCAGCGACCTGCTCCTCCTCCTCCTCCTCCTCATCCTCCGGGAGGGCGGCACGGACAAGCTGCCGGAGGCGCTGCACGTCGTCGTAAAAAGCCGCAGTACAGAGGTCCCGGGCACGCATCTCGCCTCCTTCCTGTTTTAAAAGATTCGCTGCTTTGTGCCCTCACCTTCACTCCCTTGCCGTCGCAAGGCAAAATACGGAAAACTCAAAAAAAAAAGAACCGCGGTGTACAATTGTCTGCGCTGATAGAATAACCGAATGACAGCCGAGAAGGACAGATAAACGTGTTTCTTCACACTCCACTAGGCCGGGGGTGCACGCCGAGCCGACATGGCCCGTCGCATGGCCTCCCGCGAGGCTAGGTTTTCCGCCAACTGCATTCTCTCCGCCACCACCGCCTGGTACTGCGGATCATTTTCAAGTTCCGATAACGCGCTAAAGTTGGACGCGGTAGAATACCGTGAAAGCACCAGCACCTTGAACAGCAGACCACCAAAGAGAAAGGCGCAGCAGATGTATGCGTTCCGCTTCGTGCCGTGAAACCCCACCGCCTCCTCGTAGACTGTGAAGGGCTTATAGTATGCACGAGGCATTCAAAGGGAGGTGCCTTCCTTTAGAAGCAACAGTAGCGGTGGCAAAATAGAGAATGGAATCGCATTTATTAACACAGCAAATAATAAAGAGACCTGCGATACAGTGAACCCCGTCGCTAAAACCTCCATGAACTCAGCCACATACAAGATATTTTTTTCCGCTGTATCCGTTGCAGTTCATTTGCAACTTCGTTTACAGGTTGAATAATAAATAACACAGGGATCTCTCCCTGTCATCGCTGATAGATACACAGAGATGATGACATAAAACGACAGAGGAAAATAGTGTCCTCTTCTGCTTCACACGTTTCACTTACGTTCAGTGTCTCCTTCCCATTTCGAGACCCCATCAAACTCACTGGCATGAATTATCTTCGTTTTCATCCTTACCACAACGTCAGCCGACTATCTTTCTGCGGCAAACATCATATAAACAGATGCAAAAAAAAAAATCATCTGTGCAAATATAAATTCTCGCTCGGCCACGCCCAAGAAAGTTTTTTTTCACGTCCACTTTCCTCAATCTCGTGTGTATACGGGTCAAAGTAGAACGGGTTCCCGGAAAAGCGTGGCTCCGCCGTCATGACACGCAACTGCACAGCAAACCTCTCCCCATTCGGGCGACGGAACAACATCGACGCAACTTCACCAGGGATGCAGTGCATTGAAATCAGTTTGCGCGCCATTTGTATGTCGCAGACGGCCTCCCCATTGATCGCCGTGAGTTGGTCGTCTATACAGACCCCAACCTTGTAAGCGGGGCCGTTTCGGAAGAGGCCGTCCACCACAAGCGCACCATCCTCAACGTCGTCTAGGATCGAGAACCCAAGGAAAGCGGTTGCCGTCGCGACATCATCTTCGTCCACAAAATTATCAGCAACATCCACATCCTCATCCTCATCCTCCCTCTTCGTTCTTTTTGGCTCTTGCAGACTTGCTTTTTCGCTCGTGGTATCCTGTTTAACTAACCGGTGTGTCTCTGTTGGAGGCGCGTCTGTCACTTTCGTAATGTCAAGGGAGCTCACCTTTGTTGGAACCGATCTCGTCGGTTTGGAAGTAATTAACCGCCGTACAACTCGGTTGTACAGCCACCAAAGGAGAGCAATCACCAAAATGATGCCAGGCCTGGCAATCCACCTTGACGCTTTAGACAGCATCAGTAACCTATCGGTCGTCGCTGCGTGAATGCTTCCGTCACTATCCCTGTGTAACTCCCTCACCCACGGGTGGGCACTTCGCCCGCTTGTCTCTTAAGAGCATAAAGAAGCAGCGACCCAATGTGACCTATCAGAAGACAGATTGTTAAATACAGCCGGTGGAAATGGCAAGCCACACACACGCACACACAATACTGATAATTTAACATGCAATGGAAAGGAATCCACACACAACGTGAACATGTCACGCGCACGTTCATGGCTTTTATGGAGTGCTTTCAATCGTCTCTTTCTGCCAGCGTCGTTGGAAACGCTTGTGGCGCATAATATCGAAGAAATACGGTTCATCCCTTAACCGCGGCTCTGCTGTCATCACCCAAAGAGACACGGCGTAGACCGTACCATCAGGCCGCTGCAGTGTCAGATCTGTTAGACGACCAGTATGACAGTGTCTCAGCACTGCATGCCGGGCCTCCGCGATAGATGTCACCCGTTTTCCTTCAATCGAGAGAAGCACGTCGCCGATGCGTATTCCAACCTGATACGCGGGCCCGCACTCATACAAACCCTCCACCCTTAAGTGCGGCTCGCCGAGAAACTCCCCCAACGAAAAACCTATAAAGGGTTTAGGCGTCGATGCACCAGCAGGTGGCCTTGCCATCTTCAGCATGCGCCACCTGAATTCACTACCATAGCTCCTCGACACTGAAAGCATACGAATTTCTTCCTTCGACAGCGTCCCCGCGGATTTAAACAACAATCGCTTTTCTTCAAACTCGGCGTAAATATTGTCTAAATATCGCTCCTCAACCTCCCGCAGCGCATCACGAGCTGCTTCTTCCTCGCCCGCCAGTTGCATCCTTTTCCTAGCAAACCGTCGCGACATAGCCTCTCGCCCATCGGCAATCTCCTCCGCCCTCAACCATACTATACAGCAAACCTCCTCGGAAACAATAAAAGAACGCCGCAAAGATTCCAGCATAACAACATCACCAACTGTCCTAAACCCTTTATCAAAATCCCGTATCAAAACCTCGTTATCTTCCAGCGTTGCAATCTCTTCCAAATCAAACGAAACGCACTCCTCAGCATCCCAGAAAGGAGGAAGTCCACACAGGCGCCGACCTATGCTCTCAACCCCGCGCCGGGCAGCCTCCTCAACACCGCGTCGGGCAGCCTCCTCGGACTCCTCGAGAGCATCGACGGTTTCTGCCCACCGCATGACACTCAGCTCAGACCGGCACCGGGAGAAACCTTCTGTGTCACGTGCAGCAGCTGCTTCAGCGCTATGTTCGGTCTCGTACGCTGAAGGGCCGATGTCGACTATCTGAGCTACTTGTTTTTTTTCTGCCTCTTCAACAACATCTGCTTGATTGTGGTATACAGTTTCTTGCCCCCCAAGAATGGATACATAAACAGTGCGAAGTGCATCTTCTGTGACTACTTCGGATGTGTCTTTGTCACGAACTTCAGCTTCCTTATTGTCTCGAGACGCAGCGGTCTCTTCTAGTGTATAGTTTGTTTTTTCGCGAGAAAGAGCATCACATGTCGCATCGGCTGTATTCACATATATGGAGGTGGCACCTTCTCCTTTTCGTCGCCGTTCTGGTAGTGCCGCTTGGTAGTGTTCCCGTAGTATATGTTGTCCCCGGAGTTCAAGCATCTCGTTTCGTTGTAGCGTGCGTAGACGCATGTAGCACAAAAACAAGGAAAAGGTACAGATAGCGAGTGGCACTACCCAGAAGAGCGTCAAAACAAGTGGAACAACGATGCTGTCCAGAGTGCATGTGGAGACGGAACCGAGGAAGGCAGAGGAACAGAGAATAGTGCAGTTCGTTGAACTCCAGCATATACCCGAAGAAAAGAACTGTTTCCCTTTCTTATCAGATGTCAAGTTGATGCGCACAGCAGCGTCTTTGAGAGTGATGACCCCTTTTCGCCCTTTGAAGAGCTGGTTTCGACCGTTAATACTGGCGTTCAGAAGACCATTTTCGTCATCAGTGTCGCATAGTCCCTTGCTGTACGTTATGTCGTAAATGACGTCGACCCACCCACCACGGGATATCGCTTTTGCCGCAAAACGGTTAGAGTCCACATGGCAGCGGGGGGTAAAACTTCCCGCCACGGTTCCTCTGTCTTGCAGATGCAAAACCGTCACGAATACGAAGAGACCAAGGATGCCGATTGACGGCATCTATTTCTCTACGGACGTGCAAAGAAAGACAAGAAGCAAGTTGTGCCCCAACTCTTTTCCAAGAACTACCCCCACCCAGAGCCCTTCTGTGTGACACGCCAAAACAAGAAGGAGGAAGGAAACAAAAGTTTTCTTAGTTCGTGCAAGCGCATGTGCGCACTTCCCTGGGAATAAGGAACTGCTCGCTCACCAATGCAAGGGTCATTTAACGCCATCATCAGCAATACGCAGACACCATACACCAGCTGAATGCCAACATGAAGCACCCTTGTAGGGGAAACAAAGGCTTTTCTACTGCTTCATTTAATTTTGGAGCCAGTCGTATCTCGGTGAGGTTTACAAAACGAAAGCAAGGAGAGATTGTGTTGGTGTTTACTCTTAGTAACGGCCTTACGACTGACTGGATAATCGGGACGTAACTGTTTGCAGCCATGAAGAACAGAAAGACTTTCAGTGGGATTGGCACAAGGACACGTAAATCACCACTTCAGGCTGTGTACGCCACCATTGTTTAACGTAGCCTCGAACTCCTTCTGGCGGTCATGAAAAACAGTACGCCAAAGCACCGCCCCAGCATTCTTCTCCAGTTCTCTGAAGGCGCTCACGGAAAAGTAAGGTGGTTCACAGTCCTTCTCTTCGTAGGCGCTCTCTTGCACCTTCCCGGACTCTGTCCGTCTCATCTTCACCGCATCATTTGGAAACACATAATTTCTGAAAGTATCCTTCACCTTGGCAATTCGTCCTGCGGTGTCACCTACGGTGCCATATCGCACTTGTCCACCACCGTTAAGACAACCGTCCGGACATGCCATTAGTTCAATGAATGTATATTGCGCAACTGAGGCCAATTTACGCTTTATTCCCCGTACAGTATTCTGGATGTTCTGGAAGCCATAGGCGACGCAGTACATTTCGTCAGGGTTACTTAAACTTGTGGCCTGGTGATGGTTGGCGTTCCGTTTCATTTCGTAGAAAATATCATCAGGCGCAAGAGTGGTATGGTGCAGTTCGCGGGCTGCATACTGCATGGCAAAGCGATGATAGCCGCCACTGCCCTCCATAGCGGCTGCAAAGGCGCAGTTGTCTTCTTGCAGGGGCCGATTGGGGAGTGGCCCAAATTCCGAGCTCAATGGCGCCCACCACGGGAATGACGCGTCGATCTCCAGCATCCACTCCAGCAACTCCTGCGTGCTCACCACAAAGTCCGTGTACCGCTCACCACTGGCAGGGGAAGCGTCCCGTGCAGCCTCCAACTTGCGATCAAAGCAGGGTTGCACAGAGACGTGGCACAACTTCGGCTGGAGTGTCTTGGCGTAGCACCCGGCGATGCCTTGTGGAGACATCACCGGACATAACAACGGAAGTAGGGCGGGGCCTTGCTTCTCACAGTAGCACACCCACCCCGGGCATGCAGACACCACCATCGGAAGAGTTTCTCTTGCGTAACGCATTCGACGACAGTACTCTTCTGCAGTCTTTTCAAGTGAGATGTACTGCGCCCAGCGGAGATCAGATACATACTGCGCCTGTAATACAACACGGAAGAATCCACTCACAATGTGGAAAACGCGCCAGGTGGGAATATCCAAATAGGCAGCAATAGAGGCGGCAGATTGGTCGCTGACAGTAACCAGAAAAGGACGTGCTGTATCCGCTGCGCGAGTTTTAAGGATTTCCTCGCGACTTTGGGAAGATACAAGAACCGCCTCTGCCGTTGTCACACAGCCACTACACGCCAAGCAGTCCTGTAGAGTTATCTTCACCACCTCATTAGCGGAGCTGTGTCTCTGCACAGAGCCATCTCCCTCACCCTGCTTCAACCGAGTCGGGAGAGTGCAGGCCTCCGATGGCGCGATGTAGTCCATCCCCGCCAGCATGAGGGAGGCAGAGAAGTCACCGGCTGACATTCTCTGCAGTGCAATCTCAGGGAGGCAAAACAACAAGAGCAAATGAATATAGAAAATGTGAATGATGTGTCCCCAGAAATGCAATACCCTTTTTTGCAGGCCCATTCACAAAACACCAATAAATTTGTAAAGAAAAAAAAAGCCACGGAGAAGTGCACGCTCAAAGGCGCCTCTCCGGGCCGGGGGAGGGGGGTTACACACAATACAATATTGAATTTTTT